ACTATCAGAGCCTCCCGGCTTTCGAGCCTCACTGATTAGAGTTTGGACCCCTTGGTGCCTGAGAGAAACCTGACAGTTCTGAGGTGTGACCCTTGGGTCTACACTGAGCCCTTGTGGCCACCAGCAGGACCGCAGTGTTCCAGCTGGCCATCCAGTATCGCACTTGAATTGCTCCCCACCCTCAATTCTGGGAGAAGCGGGGAGGGGATAAGAGTGAAGCACCATAAACTGAGACGCCTGAGCTTTCCATGTCCATCTGCTGGCCTTGGCGCCGTTCACTTAAAAACCCATACTGAGTGAAGATTGAACATTGCAAAAGAAACGCATTAGGGCCCCTGTATTTACCACGAAGCAATGGGTATCCACTGTAAAAAAAACTCTAACTCGAGTGACAGAAGTTTCATAAGATAGAATATGCTCACTTTTATAACATGCACTGTAAAATTTTTTTAAATTTATTTGTATTTTTTGAGACAGAGTCTCATTTTGTTGCCTAGGTTGGAGTGCAGTGGCGCAATCTTGGCTCACTGCAACCTCCACCTTCCAGATAGGTTCAGTCAATTCTGTCTCAGCCTCCTGAGTAACGGATTACAGGCATGTGCCACCATGCCTGGCTAATTTATTCTTTTTTTTTTTTTTTTTGGGGGGGGGAGGGGAGGAAGGCAGGAAGGAAGGGAATAAGGACGGTAGGGAGGAAGCGGGGAGGGAGGGAGGGAAGGGAAGAAAGGAAATCAAGCAATGAAAGAGACATTGCCGACCTGGATCTAGAGGTTTACAAGTTGATTTCTTTTTTTTTGAGAGAAGGAAAGAAAAAATAAATAAAGGAGAGGAACAAAGAGGAAGAGAAAGAGGGAGAGTAAATGGAAATATTGCTTTATTTTGAAAAAAATTGGGTATTAATAATGGCCAATCAATGTTTCATTTAAACTTATGGGTAGGTGTGATGTGGTATTGACAAGAATGTATATTTTGTGTATTTGAAGTGGGGAGCTCTATAAATATTTATTAAGTTTACTTGTTCCGGATCTGAGTTCGAGTCCTTGATATCCTTATTAATTTTCTGTCTCATTGAGTCTAAGTCTCTATGTATCTGGGTGTTAGGATCGTTAGCTCTTGTTGCATTGATCCTTTTACCACTATATCTTTGTTGCTTTAAAATCTATTTTATCCGATACAAGAATTGCAACTCCTGCTTTTTATTTATTTATTATTTATTTTTGCTCTCCATTTGGTTGGTAAATCTTTCTCCATCCCTTTGTTTTGAGTCTGTGTGTATCCTTGCATGTGAAACAGGTCTGGATGTAACATGCCGTTGGGTTTTGGCTGTGTCTTTTGATTGGGAATTTAGTCAATTTAAATTTAGGGTTACTGCCATTTGATGTTGACTGGCTGTTTGATCCATTCGTTGATGAAAATTCTTCTTTATGTTGGTGCTCTTTACTTTTTGGTGTATTTTTAGAAAGGCTAATACTGGTTGTTTCTTTCTGTGTGTAATGCTTCTTTCAGAAGCTCTTGTAAAGCAGGCCTGGTGGTAATAAAATCTCTGAGTTCTTGCTTGTTCATAAAAGATTTTATTTTTCCTTCAGTTGTGAAGCTTAGTTTGGCTGGATATGAAATTCTGGGCTGAAGGTTCTGTTCTTTGAGGATGTTGAATATTGGCCCCCACTCTCTTCTGGCTTGTAGAGTTTCTGCTGAGAGATCTGCTGTAAGTCTGATAGGCTTGCCTTTGTGGGTAATCCGACCTTTCTCTCTGGCTGCCCTTAGTATCCTCTCCTTGGTTTCAACCCTGGTGAATCTAACGATTATGTGCCTTGGGGTTGCTCTTCTTAAGGAATATCTTTGTGGTGTTCTCTGTATTACCTGGGGTTGAATGTTGACCTGCTTTGCTAGTTTAGGAAAATTTTCCTGGATAATATCCTGAAGGGTATTTTCCAGCTTGGATTCATTCACTCCGTCGCATTCAGGTAAACCTATCAAACGTAAATTTGGTCTTTTCACATAGTCCCACATTTCTTGGAGACTTTGCTCATTCCTTTTTATCCTTTTTTCTCTAATCTTTTCTTCACGTTTTATTTCATTAAGTTGGACTTTGACCTCTGATATCCCTTCTGCTTGAACAATTCGAGTGTTTAAACCTGTGCATACTTCTCGGAGTTCCTGTATTGTATTCTTCAGTTCCATTAATTCACTCATACTCCTCTCTAAGTTGTCTATTCTCAATAGGATTTCATCAACCCTTTTTTCAAAGTTCCTAGTTTCTTTACGTTGGGCTACAAGATGTTCTTTTAACTCACCGAAGTTTGTTATTATCCATTCCTTGAAGAGTGATTCTGTCATCAGGAGGCGCTCGTTCTCCATCAAGCCTTGTTCCATTGTTGATGTGGAACTGTGATCATCTTTAGAGGGAGAGTTGTTCTGACTTTGAGTATTCTCAGCTTTTTTACTCTGGTTTCTTCCCGTCATTGTAAATGTATCCTCCTGTCGTCTTTGAAATTACCAACTTTCAGATTAGGTCTCTTGAGTGGACGTCCAGGTTGTTAGTTCCCAGGGCCAGAACAGCGGCGTTAAAACTGATGGTGCTTTTCTGCCCAGGATTCTCCTGTCTGGCTTCCTTCTTGTGTCCGTAGTAGGTGACTCTGCCTCCCCGGGGCTCCAAACCTGGTCAGAAGGGGAGCCGGTCCCGTTTACTCTGCGCCGAGCGCTGCCGCGTCGAGGTGCCGGGGGAACCGCTGCGCCGACCACGAGAGTCGCACTGGCGACTCGTTTGTTTCCACCACTGGGGGATCTTCTGCCCCGTGAGCGACCAGACTTTGAAAGTGTGGCGTCCTCTAGTTCTCCGCGCCTTCCCTGAGAGCTGCAATCCCGGGATGTTAGCGATCGGCCATCTTGGATCGTTCTCCTCCTTATTTATTCATTTTTGAGATGGAGTCTCCCTCTGTCGCCCAGGCTGGAGTGCAGTGGTGCAATCTAAGCTCACTGCAACCCCCGCCTCCTTCAAGAGATTCTCCTGCCTCAGCCTCCTGAGTAGCTAGGATTACAGGTGCGCACTGCCACGCCCAGTTAACTTTTGCATTTTTAGTGGAGATGGGGTTTCACCGTGTTAGTCTGGTCTCAAACTCCTGACCTTGTAATCTGCTCACACTGGCCTCCCAAAGTGCTGGGATTACAGGTATGAGCCACCATGCCCACCTGCAAATTGATGTTTTCTGTGTAATTGTAAGAATTGCTGACCGAAACCTCATGATTTTAGGACCAATGACTAAGCAGTTTGAAAAATAGTGCCTTAGACCAAAACAAAGGAAATAAAACTCTTATACTCCTATAAAACAAATGCATGTTAAAGATTTACTTATCCACCGGGCGCGGTGGCTCACTCCTGTAATCCCAGCACTTTGGGTGGCCGAGGTGGGTGGATCACGAGGTCAAGAGATCGAGACCATCCTGGTCAACGTGGTGAACACCCTCCCCCGGCCCCCCCCCTCCCCCCGTCTCTATTAAAAATACAAAAAGTTAGCTGGGCGTGGTGGTGCATGCCTGTAATCCCAGCTACTCAGGAGGCTGAGGCAGGAGAATTGCCTGAACCCAGGAGGCAGAGGTTGCAGTGAGCCGAGATCGCGCCATTACACTCCAGCCTGGGTGACAAGAGCGAAACTCTGTCTCAAAAATAATAATAATAATAAATAAATAAAAAGGTTTTGCTTATCCTTAGGGGGCCAGTAAGACTTTACAACTAGTTTGCAAGCAAATGCAAAGAAGGCCGGGCACGGCGGCTCACACCTGTAATCCCAGCACTTCAGGAGGCAGGTGGATCACTGGAGCTCAGGAGTTTGAGACCAGCCTGGCCAACATGGTGAAACCTTATTTCTACTAAACATACAAAAATTAGCTGGGCGTGGTGGCACATGCCTGTAATCCCAGCTACTTGGGAGGCAGAGACAAGAGAATGGCTTGAGCCCGGGAGGTGGAGGTTGCAGTGAGCAGAGATCATGCCATTGCACTCCCGCCTGGGAGACAGATGGAGACTCTGTCTTGGGGTGAAAAAAAAAAAGAATCCAAAGAAGATTCTGGAAGATTATAGGTCAGGAATATTGAAATGAATGTGCAAATGGAGGCAAAACTGGCCTCTTGCACAGTGGGGGAATTTATTTACATGTCTGTATTTATTTAAATGGAAAAAGAGAAGCCAGGCCTGGGACTCACACTGGTAGTCTGAGCACTTTGGGAGGCCGAGGCAGGAGGATCCCTTGGTCCTTGGAGTTTCAGGCTGTAGTGAGACATGACTGCACCACCGCACTCCAGCCTGGGCAACAGAGCCTGGCCCTGCCTCCTATATGCTAGATTGCTTTCCATGTTTCTCAGCTGTGCACAGTGTAAAGCGCTGCACAAACAGCCCAAAGGCAGTGGGAGAGGAGAATAAGATAATCTGGAAGGATGTGTTCTAAACAGTGTGTGATTTTCCATTGAAGCGCACATTTTTCTTTTGATCTCATAATCAAGGAAACTTTGGGATCTTGCTGTATGGCCCAGGCTGCAGTGCAGTGGCTTGATCTGGGCTCATGGCAACCTCGGCCTCCCAGGTTCAAGTGAGTCTCCTGCCTAAGCCTCCCCAGTAGCTGGGACTACAGGCATGCGCCACCACCCCCGACTAACTTTTGTATTTTTAGTAGAGACAGGGTTTTGCCATGTTGGCCAGACTGGTCTCAAACTCCTGGCCTCCAGTGATCCACCTGCCTCAGCCTCACAAAGTGCTGGGATTACAGGCATAAGCACTGCCCCTGGCTTTTTTTTTTTTTTTTTGGAGATGGAATTCTTGTTGCCTGGAGTGCAGTGGTGCGATCTCAGCTCACTTGCAACCTCTGCTTCCCGGGTTCAAGTGATTCTCTTGCCTCAGATTCTTGAGTAGCGGGGATTACAGGCACCCGCCACCATGCCCAGCTATTTTTGTGTGGTTTTTTTTTTTTTTTGAGACGGAGTTTCGCTCTTGTTTTTTGTTTTTTTTTCTCAGTCGGAAAGGCCGTTTATTTATGTTTCAAAATGCTCACTGCCTCCTTTGTTTTGTCTCCTTTGCATGCCTTCTCCGTTAGGCCTCTTCTCCTGGGGGTGTGGATCCTGGGGGGAGACCCATCACCTCCATGCTTCCGTTCTTCCCCAGCCACAGTGAGGGCATCATGAGAGAAGCGAAGCCACTGGCCCAGGATCACCCGGCATTTACCGTGGCTGTCTGGGCACAGTTCCTTGCCTTTAGAGTCCCTCCAGTGACCCATAAGGCCCTCTTTCTCCCTAAAGCAGAGGTCGCAGATAGGGCAACGGTAGCTCTTCTGCTTCCAGTGGGTCTGCTGCTGGTGTCTGACCAGCTTGGAAAATGAGCTGAAAGACTTGCTGCAATGGAAGCAGTAGTTGGGTGGCTCTGTGAGGTGGGTCTTCTGGTGGCTGGAGAGATAGGATTTCTTGCTAAAAGTCAAAGGACAATGGGGGCAAGAGAAGACATTGAGTCTTGAGGGCTTCACTGGATAAGAATTGGATCTGTCATCCTGACAAGGGGTTCCAGGGATTGGTGCCTGGGTCCTGGTCACAGGCACTTGGTTCTTAAGTACAGATGGCTGGTTCTGGACCATAGGACCCTCAGTTCTAAATATGGATTCCTGGGACCTGGCCCCTGGTGCATGGTCCATGTCCACAAGCCCCTGGGTGGACCTCTGGCTTCTGGTGATGGGTGTCCGGAATTCAGCAGGGGTGCCTGGAGTCCTCAAAGTATACTCTTGGTTTCCATCCACTGGCTCCTGGTTTTGGTGTGTCCTCTGGTGGCGTTTGAGCTCAGACTGGTCGCGGAAGCTCTTCCCACACATGGAACATGAATGGGGACGGTAACCCAGATGGACGCGGCGGTGACGACTTAGACCAGAAGCATCACAGTAGGTCTTGTCACAGAGCGTGCAACAGAAGGGCCTCTCCCCAAGATGCATGTGTCTGTGATAGCTGAGGGACCTGGGACTCCGAAACAGCTTCCCACACTGGCTGCAGCTATTAGTCCGCTTGGGATTGTGAACAAACTGGTGGCTGCAGAGGTAGGAGCGCCTACTGCCACTTGCCACAGGTGTGGCAAAAAAAGGTGGCCCACCCCGTGATGCTTGAAGCACCCGGGTCCTGTCCATACACCCAGCTGGGGCAGAGAGGGCCCCTCTGCATGTGAGGAAGACCTTGTCCTCACTAGTTCCTTCATCTCAGACTGATCTTGTTCTCGAAGCTCTTTCTTCTTGCCTTCTGAAAGGCCTTCTGTGTTTGGGAGCTGGAGAAACACTCTCCACTGTTTCTCTTGGTGCTCAAGCTTGGTGATTAGCTCTGGCTTATGCAGAAACATTCTGGCTGTCCAGGGAAAACATGTTCCGGGGCCGTTAGGAACAGGGAGCTTGCTGAGGGAAGCCCAGCCTCTTACCCACAGATGCTAGGTTCTTAAAGGTTTCCGACATAACATCCTGGTAAAGGACCCTCTGGCTGGCATCTAGACAGTCCCACTCTTCCTGGGTGAAATTCACTGCCACATCCTCAAAGGTGACTGGCTTCTGACGCGCGCTGCGAACCGCGATTTGGGGGCGCAGGGTTTCCAGGGGACCAGCGTTTCGCTCGTTACCCAGGCTGGAGTGCAATGGCACAATCTCGGCTCACCGCGACCTCCACCTCCTAGGTTCAGGCAATTCTCCTGCCTCAGCCTCCCGTATTTTTGTGTTTTTAGTAGAGATGGGTTTCTCCGTGTTGGCCAGGCTGGTCTCAAATGCCTGACCTCAGGTGATCCACCCACCTCAGTCTCCCAAAGTGTTGGGATTACAGGTGTGAGCCTCCAAGCTCGGCTTTAATGATTAACGAGGAAACCTGTGTGATAGCAAAGATGAAAGGAAATGATGTAGATAAAGTCCTCGAGGTGTTTTAGTGCCCAGCACAAAGCACCCCTCAGGTGGTTCTTGGGTTGTCACCCAGCTGCAGGCTTCTGTTTCTCAAGGGCATCTATTCTAGTGTTTCTCACAGTCTACTTCATAGTCCCGGTATCAGGAGCATTTGTTAAAATTCTAGATTTCTGTCCCCCCCGCTTTGGCCGCCTCCTCCCCCGATCATCTCCCCTCCCCGCCACCAAAATCTGGAGTCTCCTTTTTTTTTTCCCCCGAGTTGGAATCTCACTCTGTTGCCCAGGCTGGAGTGCAATGGCTCGATCTTGCTCACCGCACCCTCCACCTCCGGGTTCTTCAATCATTCTCCTGCCTCAGACTCCAGAGTAGCTGGGATTACAGGTCCCTGCCACGATGCCCAGCTAATTTGTGTACTTTTGTTAGTAGAGATGGGGTTTCACTACATTGGACAGGCTGGAACTCCTGACCTCAGGTGATCCACCCACCTCGGCCTCCCAAAATGCTGGGATTACAGGCCTGAGCCACTACACTTGGCCTTGGATTCTTCTTGAATCCCTTTCTAGAACCTCAGCTAGAATTTTAGATGTAAAATCCAAGAATCTACATTTTTATCAGAAGCCCCAGGTAATTCTTATATAGACTAGAATTATACATAGAAATAACTGAAATAAAAGCTTCATGGGTCGGGTGCGGTGGCTCACACTTGTAATCCCAGCACTTTGGGAGGCGGAGGTGGGTGGATTACGAGAGGTCAGGAGTTTCGAGACCAGCCTGGCCAACATGGTCAAGCCCCATCTCTACTAAAAATACAAAAATTAGCTGGGCGTGGTGGCTCGTGCCTGTAGTCCTAGCTACTCAAGAGGCTGAGGCAGGAGAATTGCTTGAACCTGGGAGGCAGAAGTTGCAGTGAGCCGAGATCATGCCACGGCACTCCAAACTGGGCAACAGAGCGAGACTCCATCTCAAAAAAAAAAAAGTTTCATGAAAACTATGTTTAACCTCATACAGATACATGCTTTTCTATTTGATTTCTTCATATATACATTTTTGTTTTTTGAGACAGGGTCTTGCTATCACCCAGGCTGTATTGCAGCAGCACCGTCATGGCTCACTGCAGCCTCAGCCTCCCTGGCTCAAGTAATCCTCCCACTTTGGCCTCCTGAGTAGCTGGACCACAGGCACCTGCTACCACGGCAGACGTTTTGTAGAGACGGGGATCTTACGATGTTGCCCAGGTTGGTCTCAAACTCCTGGCCTCAAGAGATCCTCCTGCCTCAGCCTGCCAAAGTGCTGGGATCACAGGCTTGCGCCATCACGCCCAGCCCCCACACTGGGGATTGTAATGTCCTACAAATTCTGTTGTTCTGCTTGATATGACTCTTCGTTCTCCTGTGCAGCATTAAATCACCACAAAGGACTTGCAGCCTGTCTTGAACGTGTTTGGTTTTTCCCAGTGGGAAAGGGTTTATGCACGTGATAAACCATTTTGAGAACAAGAAATTCAAGGAGAAAAAAATCAGTATTCTTACTACTTTCAACATTTTGCTGTATCACTTTCTAGTTATCTAAGTGTTTTAAGATATAAACACGTAAAATATAATTCGCCAACAAATAACAAAGACGACCAGAATAGAAAGGGAATGGGGTCCGGGCGCGGTGGCTCACGCCTGTAATCCCAGCACTTTGGGAGGCCGAGGCGGGTGGATCACGAGGTCAAGAGATCGAGACCATCCTGGTCAACATGGTGAAACCCCGTCTCCACTAAAAATACAAAAAATTAGCTGGGCATGGAGGCGCATGCCTGTAATCCCAGCTACTCAGGAGGCTGAGGCAGGAGAATTGCCTGAACCCAGGAGGAGGAGGAGGTTGCAGTGAGCGGAGATTGCACCATTGCACTCCAGCCTGGGTAACAAGAGCGAAACTCCGTCTCAAAAAAAAAAAAAAAGGGAATGGGAGGAAAGGCCAGTGGATTGAGGGCCAGATGGCAGTGTCTTGTCCAAGCAGTATTTTGGTCTTTTTTGAAAAAAAAAAAACAAAAAAAAAAAAAACCTGTTTAGAAAAGATAGTCTTTACTGAATTTGTGACTCGGGTTTTGCTTTCCAACTCTTACATATGTGTATCCATTTGTCCATTTGCTTTTGCTTTTCGTTCATTGAGATGGGGGTCCCTTGATGTTGCCTAGGACGGCCTCAGACTGGAGGCTCAGGCCATCTTCCTGCTTCTGCTTCCCAAGTAGCTAAGACTACAGACACGCACCGCCATGCCCAGCTCTAATTGATACTTTTTGTAAATACAACGTTTTGGAAATCTTCTTGAATTGTTTTTTCCAACATGGAAACATTTCCAAATTCCTGTTTGAAAACATTGCCACCCGTGTAATTTTACCAAGGAGATGGAAACGTTTCAGGAGCAACACTGCCATCCTGTGGCCCTCTCGAGTATTGCTGCTGAGGATTTAAATTTGCGCTTTCCCACACCGGTGGTCCTGCATCACGTGATGGCCCTCCAGAAAGACTCCAGGTGGCCTCGGGCGGGGGCTTCCTGCTCAAGAGGGATGTGGTAGCAGACCTGACTGAACGTAGTGTGTGCTGTAGAAAAGATAGTGTCTTGGCCAGGCGCGGTGGCGCACGCCTGTATTCCCAGCACTTTGGGAGGCCGAAGCATGTGGATCACGAGGTCAAGAGATCGAGACCATCCTGGTCAACATGTTGAAACCCCGTCTCTACTAAAAATACAAAAAATTAGCTGGGCATGGTGGCGCGTGCCTGTAATCCCAGCTACTCAGGAGGCTGAGGCAGGAGAATTGCCTGAACCCAGGAGGAGGAGGTTGTGGTGAGCCGAGATTGCACCACTGCACTCCAGCCTGGGTGACAAGAGCGAAACTCTGTCTCAAAAAGAAAAGAAAGTGTCTTAAAGGCATTAATGCGATGTCGTTGTGCGTTTGAGTGACAAGATTGGGGTGATTTACTAGTATAATCTTAACATTCTGAAATCGTTTCTATACATTTTTAGAATATGATATTAGAACTTGGAAGATGTCACAACATAATGCATGCCGCCCCTCTCCTGTCATGAGTAAACCAAACCCAGGAATGAGAAGCTTCTGCTGTTTAGTAGAGCGCCTGTAATCCCAGCAGTTTGGGAGGTGGGTAGGTAACTAGAGGTCAGGAGTTTGAGACCAGCCTGGCCAACATGGTGAAACCCCATCTCTACTAAAAATACAAAAAAATTAGTTGGGTGTGGTCGTGGGCACCCGTAATCCCAGATACTCAGGAGGCTGAGGCCTGAGAATCACTTGAATCTGGGAGGCAGAGGTTGCAGTGAGCCGAGATCACACCACTGTACTCCAGCCTGGGTGACAGTGAGACTCTTTCTCAAAACAAAAACGAAAAAGCTGCTTTTCACAAAAACCTCTGGGATGTGAGTCATTCGGACAGGGATTGTTTTTCTTGCAACCTCCACCTCCCAGGTCCAAGCAATTCTTCTGCCTCAGCCTCTGCAGTACCTGGGACTACAAGCACGTGCCACCACGCCCATCTGATTTTTGTATTTTTAGTAGATATGGAATTTCACCTTATTGGCCAGGCTGGTCTCAAACTCCTGACCTTGTGATCCTCCCACCTCAGCCTCCCAAAGTGCTGGGATTACAGGCGTAGCCACCGCGTCCGGCCAGGGATCGTCTTTCAGTGTCTTTGCTGAGAGATAATTAACATTCCATACAACTTCCCCATCTGAGGTCTACAGTTCAGTGCTTTTAATAGATTCAGAAAGCAGTACAAACGTCACCACCATCCGTTTTGGAACATTTTCATTATCCCAGAAAGGAACCCCACCCACCCCCGCCATCACTTCCAACCCCTCGGTCCCTCCCAGCCCTGGACAACCGTCAGTCAGCTTTCTGTGTCCATAGATTGGCCCATTCTGGACACTTCCTGTGAAGAGTCATGGTATCAGATGTGTAATGTGGATCAGAAGCTCATTTCTTCCACTCTGCTGAGTAACTCCCACTGCCTGAATAGACCACATCTTGTGCTGTGTCCCTTCACGTGGAGAACTCCCTTCCCTGAAGGCCAGGCCCAGGTCGGAGCAGGTGTGTGCAAGGCAGACCCTGGCGGTGGGACAACCAAGCTGGATCCACCCGCACAGTGTCCTCAGAGGAAGGTGGGGGGCAGCCTGCAGATGGCTGAGGTGACAGGGGAGTGGGGCGCTGCTCAGGCAAAGTTGTGGTTGAGGGAAGGAGGAGTTTGTGTCACATCTCCTGTGTCCTTAAAAAAACCTGAGTACCTTGACGAGCCCATTGGAAGTAAAACAGCAGAGGTGCCAGAGCTCTGAGGGAGTGTTGCTATGGGCGCTGCTGGAGATGCTGCTCCCCCCCCCCCGCCCCCCCCGCCATGGCCCCACATGAAGGCTTGAGAAGGGCTTTCACGATGTTGGCCATGGTGATCTTGAATTTGAACTCCTGACCTCAGCCTTCCAAAGTGGTAGGATTACAAGTCTGAGCCACCACACTTGGCCTTTCTAAAGCCGGAGGAAGGGCAGGTGCTCACATTCCCCAGATGGGAAGACGGTGAGAGGAACTTACAGAGACATCCAGCCTGTGCTTGGGAGGCTGAAGTGGGAAGATTGCTTGAGCTCAGGCGCTCAAGACCAGCCTGGAAACACAGCAAGATCCTGTCTCCACCAAACATTATTTAAAAATTTAATTAAAGAACACTGCTGAGGGACATGGTGAAACCCCATCTCTACAAAGAATGCAAAAGTTAGCCAGGTGTGGTAGTGTGCGCCTGTGGTTCCAGCTACTCTGGAGGCTGAGGTGGGAGGATGGCTTGAGCCTGGGAGGAAGAG